AGTGGTACCTATCAAGCAAATTATCCATTTCTTTTATATTTTCCATTTTGGTGGAGTACAGGTTTTTAATGTCCTTATGATTCGCTGGATTTCCTTGGTGTCTGTTGTTCTGTCCCACCCCCATTTATTTTTTGATTTTGATAATTTGGATATTTTCTCTCTACCTTTTAGTTAATTTTGATAAGGGTTTTTTCAGGCATAGTGGTTTTTCTCAAAGAATCAACCATTTGTTTCTTGATTATTTGTGTTGTCTTTTTGCTTGTTTCTGATTTTAGCCTGGAGTTTGATTATTTTTTGCCATCTACTCCTTTTGGGCGTGATTTTTTTCTTTTCGTCTTGTTCTAGAGCTTTCAGGTGTGCTGTTAATTTGTTAGCATGAAATCTCTTTGGTATTTTTGTATGTAGGCACTTCGTGCTAAGAACTTACTTTTTAGAATCACTATCATTGTGTCCTTTAAGTTTGGGTATGTTGTGTATTCATTTTCACTCAACTTTAGAAAGTCTTATTTATTTCTCTCTTGATTCATTTTTCATTCAGTATAGAGTTGTTCGTTTTCCTTGAGTTTGTAAGCTTTCTGTTGTTTCTGTTGTTGTTGACATCCAGCTGTAATCCATGTGGTCAGATAAGAAGCAGAGGACTTGTCTTTATTTTCTTGTTATCTGTTGGTACTTGTTTGTGTCCAAAATCTATGAAGTGCTGAGAAGGTGTATTCTTTTGTGTTTGAATAAAATGTTCCGCAAATATCTGTTAGGCTTATTTGGCTTATAATGTCTATTAGCTCTAACTTTTCTCTGTTTAGATTTTTTGGGGGATTTTGATGATTTGTCTATTGGCAAAAGTGGGGTATTGAAGTCTCCCACTGTCAGTGTGTGAGGGTCAATATGTGATTTAAGCAGTATTTAGTGTGCCTAGATGCTAAGAATTAAAATGTATTTCTTGGTAGATTTTTCCTCTAATGAGTATGTAGTGTTCTTCCCTATTTTATTTTGTTAAATATTAAAATAGCTACACTCACTTGCATTTACTTGGAATAACTTTTTTCAACACTTTACTCTGAGGTAATGTCTATCTTTGATATTGAGGTATGTTTCTTGGATCCTGTTTTGACATCCTTCTGTTTGTGTCTTTTCATTAAATAATTGAGACCACTGATGAAAAATATAAATGACGATTGTTGTCTCCTGTGATTTTGATGTTGTTGGTGGTGGTTGTGGGGTGTGTCTATGTGTGTGTTTCCCATTTCTTCATTTAGCTGGTCTGGGATTATTTATTCCCAATGTTTTCTTGGGTGTAGTCAATCTCTTTAGGTTGGAGTTTTCCTTCTAGCCCCTTCTGTGGGGCTATATTTTGGATAGATATTGCTTAAATTTACTTTTAACATGGAATATCTTGTTTTTTTCCATCTATGGTAATTGAAAGTTTTGCTGCATATAGTAATCTGGGCTTACATCTGTTGTCTCTTGGAGTCTGCAGCACATCTCTCAAAGCCCTTCTGGCTTTTAGAGTCTCCATTGAGAAGTCAGGTGTAATTCTAGCAAGTCTGCTTTTATATGTTACTTGGTCTTTCCCATTGTAGCTTTTAATATTCTTTCTTTGCTCTGTAAATTTACTATTTTGATTATTATGTGCCGAGGGGACTTTCTTTTCTGGTCCAATCTGCTCTATATGCTTTTTGTACCTTCATAGACACCTACTTTTTTATGTTAGGGAAGTTTACTAAGATCCTGTTGAAAATACTTCCTGTGCCTTTGGCCCATGTTCCTTTTCCTTCCTTGTTCCTATTATTCTTGGATTTGGTCTTTTCATAGTGTCCCAGATTTCCTGGATCTTTTGAGCCAGGAGTTTTAGATTTAACACTTTCTGACCTATTTATCATTTTTTTTTCTATCATATCTTCAATACCTAAGACTCTTCCATCTCCTGTAAAGCTTGCCTCTGTGGTTCCTGTTCAAGCTCCTAAATTTTTCACTTCCAGATTTCCCTCAATTCGGGTTTCTTTTATTGATTTGTTTCCACTTCCATATCATGAACTGTTTTATTAATTTCCTCCACAAGGGAGCCTATAGGTGGTGTGCTACAGAGCCAGGGATGAGACTGGGGTACTGGACTTGAAGGCAGTGATAGAGAAGGGAAGTGAAGATCTGCAGTTAGCCTACCTGCTTCCCTAGCAGGGGTGACCTGTGTGTTTCCAGGGTGCGCCTGCTGGAGTGGTTGGGAGGCCGGGATAAAGCAATGAGTTGGTGGAAGATCTGTAGGAGCCGCTGGAGGTGGAAGCACCTGAGAAGGGAGGCTTCAGAAGGTGTTCTGCTGCAGAGCTGGGTATTAAACTGGGGGAGTGGATTTGGAGGAGCAGAAGAGGTGAATTTCTGCAGTTAGTCTACCTGCTTCCCTGGCCAGAGTGCCAGAAGGCTTTTTTCAGCAGGTATCCCACCTTGGTAGCTGTATAAAACACAGTAATATTTGCAGAGGGACCTGTATTATCTTCTTTTCCCATTCACTGAACACCTCAAGTAACATTTTCTCCGTGTGTCTTTTACAAATCAGAAATAACAGGCACTGATTTGCTATGTACTTTCAATACTTGATAACATAACTTGGATAAAGAAAACTGTAGTTAAAAATCACCAGGGTTCAACAGACTGTGAATTTTTCTTTTTTTTTTTTTTTTTTTCGAGACAGGGTTTCTCTGTTATTTTGGAGCCTGTCCTGGAACTAGCTCTTGTAGCCTAGGCTGGTCTCAAACTCACAGAGATCCGCCTGCCTCTGCCTCCCAAGTGCTGGGATTAAAGGCGTGCACCACCACCACCTGGCCAGACTGAATTTCTATGAAGGTCAAACATCTTTTGTTCTTTTCCTTCCAGGTCAGTGGCCACAAACGGGTGAGCTCAGCACGCTGTACCAACAGTGGAGAGGCTGCGAGGTGGAGGCAATCTATCACACCGTCAGAGACTGGGACCAATTTGGTACCAACTGCTGTGCAAATCTGCTGGTCAGGAACATAAGAAGCTGTTAAGTAATGACGGACACATTGGCTGAGATGAAGTTTCCTGAAAGGAAGTGACAGTGCAATGTGGATATTTATGGTCATAAAATAGGAAAAGTTTTAGTTCCCAGGCTGAACTTGGCTCTGCTTGAGACATTTCAACAAGGCATCCTGACAACAAAGAAGATGTGACACGATTCCATTTCGCATCAGCAGATGTCTGGACAAAAGTCATCAATGTGAATAAGGGCCAAGTGCAGTTGTGCCTTTCTTGAATAAATTACTTTATATTAAATAAAAGGTCTGGGTGGTTTTGTGTCTAGGTTTCTTTCCATTAGCCCTCCTCCTGTAGAACAAGTTTTCCCTGGGGATAGGAGATCTAAAGAAATTGAAACTGGGGCTGGAGAGATGGCTCAGTGGTTAAGAGCATTGCCTGCTCTTCCAAAGGTCCTGAGTTCAATTCCCGGCAACCACATGGTGGCTCACAACCATCTGGAATGAGGTCTGGTGCCCTCTTCTGGCCTGCAGACATACACACAGACAGAATATTGTATACATAATAAATAAATAAATAAATAAATAAATAAATAAATAAATAAATAAATAAATATTAAAAAAAGAAATTGAAACTTTTTTTGCTTTCAAATTGTTCTACTTAGTAGTTTTTTTTTTTAACTATGCAGTTAAACGACACAAGCATCATGCTATAATGACAGGGCTTGTTTTGCTAAGCAGATTTTGGGAAATGGCTCAATTGCATGAGTTCAATAGTCTATATAAAAGGAATATAAGAACCATGAAGGAAACTGTATATAGAGTTCAAGAATTTTCTTTTTAAATTTCATTTTACCTGTATGGGTGTATTGTCTGCATGTATGTCTGTGTGCCATGTTCATGCCTAGTTCCCATGGAGGTCAGAAGAGGGAATCAGATCCATTGGAAATGGAGTTACAGATAGTTGTGAACTTTGTAAACTGACATGTGAGAATCAAATCCCAGTCCTCTGGAAGAGAAGCCAGTGTTCTTAACTACTGAGCCATCTCTATGCCATTTGGATTCAAGAATTTTAGCAGTCATTCTACAAGAAACTATTAAATTACAATGTCAAGTTTATACCCTTCAGTCTCACAGATTCATGTTGCCAACTCCTGGTGATGTGTTCTTTAGGGTTCTGCACTCACAGCCTGGGAGACTCTTCGGGGCAGGAGGAATCCTAGGCTGAGACCACATTTAAACTGTTTCTTTTAAGTCTAAAAATCCCAAAAAGATGTTAGCATGGAGGTTCAGACCCCAGTGTTAACCTGTCTGTGCAGCTAAAGCTGGTCTCAAACTTGTACCTGCCTACTAAATGTTGGGTTCCAGATGTGTACTAGTATGTCCAAATGACACCCTATTCTCTCTTCCCCCTAAAGGTTTATGTATATGTGTTTGCCTGTATGAGATTATGTGCACTACTTTTATGAAATACTTGCAGAATCCAGAAGGGGGCATTGAATCCCCTGGAATTGGAGTTACAGGTGGTTATAAACTGGCCTATGTAGGTTCTGGGAACTGATTCTTGATCTTCTGCAAGAGTAGTAAGTGCTCTTAACCACTGAGCCATTTCTCTAGGCCCTACGATACCCTATTCCAAAGCTGAAAATTTAGAAGTATCTAAATTAGGAATCGGCAAAGATCTTCTTAGTAAAAGGTTAGATAGTAAATAATTCAGGCTTTATGTGCCACAGAATATCACAACTCCTCAGCTCTGTCACTATAGCATAAACAAACTCCAGATCGCAGGCCAAGCAAGTAGTGTAATGTATGCCAATAAAATTCCATTTACAAACAAGGCTGTGGACTGAATTTGCTCAGGTCCAAGTATATCTTACTAACTATAGTTTGAATGAATTCCCCTGGAGAGAAATATTCTTTAAAAAAAAAAGTAACTTGTGAGCAGGAAAAAGAAACCTGCTGGAAATAAGAGCACACTGGATACACAGCAGAGGAGCTCCAAAAACACGAGACACCAGTAGCTCGGCCAGCGCATCTTTTTATTTTCAATTTTGTAAAAAAAAAAAAAAAAAGCTTAGAGAAAAACAACATGTTAAATATTAGTAAAGGACAGGAAACCACAAGGCTAGGTTTACAATAAATTTACAATAAATAGCAATCTAAACAGCTATCCAAAGGTGAGCATTAAGTAAAAGGTGAGGAGGAGAGAGCACTTTAGGGTTCCTACTGCAGTTTTCCCAATTGCACAGAAATGTAGCAGATAATTCCTAGTCTGTAATGTTCACAGTTAAAACACTTTGATGTCATTTTCTATAAAATTCTCCCAAATACACTGTCAGCCCTCTAGAAAAAGTTCACCAGAAAGTCCCATCATTGCAAGTTGAATCCCCCTATTCTGCTTTGAAAATTGCTTTCCAGCAACTGAATCTTTGTGGTCTCTCATTTCATTATCATAGTGGGCATAGTAAAACATGCCAAAAAAGAAGGATCAGGTGGATTCAGGTTAGAAAAGAAAGGCTAGAAGGAAATGGCCCTACTGTGAAGTTATATTTTAAATAAAGCGCTTCCAGCACTAACATATATCCACAGATTGAATACCCACAAAACGGAAAAGCATCGATCCTCTGTTCTTCCACGGCCTGCAAGTAGAATGATCATAATGAGCCCCCATCTGCCCTTGCATGGACCTATCCACAAAGGCCAGGATGGCCACTTTCTGAAAGTGCTTTCAGTAGAAAACCCTCAGTGCCTCATGCTAGTCACTTCTTTTGCCGGTTCAGTTTCTTCAGCATATACAGCATATATAGTCAGAAACATGTCCCACTGGCTAAGAGTTGAAGGTAGACCGGGACATTTAGAGATTCTCTTGTGCCCTTTTAATGATGATGTGTGTTCTCATACCTATTTTAGGCCTTCTCGAAAAGCAGCACAACAGATAGACCCTCCTTTTAATGTTCCCCAAGGCTTGCTGCCCACATGTTTCAAATGGGCCACAGCTATAGCATGCCCTGCTTAGGAATAGAAAATGAACATTAAAAAACTTTAGTTTTGCTCTTTATAATTTGCCAGCAGTTAGTAATAAGAGATATCTGCTAATCTGACAAATGTGTATGAAAACTGAAAGGAGGATAAAGTTTGGTTTTTGGTCCTATTTTGAAAGAATCGTCAGAAAATGCTTTTCTGTTTGATGCAACCACATTCATTCCTATGATACTTTTCTATGGACTGTCAAACTAGGTTTTCAAAAGGGGGTTAAGTCATTTCAGCTGTTAGATATGTTGCTTCTAAAGTAAACTCTTGGCCACGAGTTTCATTCAACTTACTGCCTTAGAACACAGCAGCTGATGCTGGCAAAGCAAAGTCACTTTAAAAAAAAAAAAAACAACTGAAGAGCTCAAACTCAACACACAGGAGAGGGCCTGCCCTATCTTAAGAGTCAACATCAAAATGCAGGAGTGAGGCTCTCAAGCACCTCTCTGCAGATGACATTTTAGATGAATGGTCATGTCATCTCTGGGCTACTGTGAGTTTTCTTCGAACTCATAGAGGGAACATGGCAGGTTACAAGAGGATGTTCTGCACCTCTGATGAGTTGCTCAATTGTCCTCTGATCTCAGTGGTGTTTCTGTACCAGAGAATCAATGGTTCACATTAACTATCTGACATGATTACATTCACTTGTACTGGAGACAAGGCAAGGGAGAGACGGTGGAGGGCAATGGGAAGCAGATCTTTGTTTTGGAAGGGACTGGTCTTTGCTCTAGATGAAACTGCTCTCATACAGATGAGATAACCTTTTTTCCCTTTTAAATCAAAAGAGATCTTATTTTTCTATGGAACCACAAGGTTAGACCACAAGGTTAGAGCACAAGGTTAGAGGTCTAGAGGATCCAACCCAGAGTGTACCTTGCTGTTTGCTTGACGAGACGTTTGATATCATAACATGATTTGTTTGGCTCCAGGGCATCATGGTCACTCTAAGAAGTACCCTGGATGACAGAGTTGGTATGCCCTTTCTACAGGGTTGGTAGGAAGAAACACACATGCTTTTAAGTTCCAAAATTCCTTCTCTAGGAAAGCTTAGGCTTTCCAGGTTGTTCCCATGGGAGCATTATGAAAACTCTTCTATCAGAGCTGTACCACTGCTGACATGTGACAACAGAGTAACCACAACCTTTGCCCATGCTGCTGGCAGTAAATGGGCCGACCCGTATTCTGTGGACAAGGCATGTGGACCAACAAGACAAAGTTTGACCACAAAAAGGAACTATTGATTCCATACTGAATTGAAAGGACAGCTTCCCAGAATCCTTTTGTGTTGAACTACTCAGCAGATCAAAGACAAAAACTCCCTTGCCCAATCACAAGTGCTAATAAAGATGACAAGTGTGAAATTCTTCTACACACATACTCAAGTCACTCTCAGCTCTCCTTCAAGTCTTTGTTTTCATGTGGAAGACAACCCTGAATTCTGCCAAATGAGCAGGACCGTTTTCCAGAGGCCTAGTCAGTATTAGCAATCAGTTTCGGTTTTGTCACTAACAATTATTAAGCAAACATTCCTTTAACTAAGCTTTTAAAGGGTTCCTTGCAAACATGCAAAAGGCTCAACCTTCTATACAGGAGGCATCCTAGAACTTTCAAAACAAACCACACATGCCAGACCCCACCCTGAAGCTGCAGAATCCAAATCTTGAGGGTATTATGCCTTTAACTGGCCTTTTTATTTTCGTACCTGGGAATAGAACCCAGGGCCTTGGCATACTAGGAAGTTCTCTACAGCTAATCCAAACCTGTGGCCCTGCATTTTTTAAATTCAAGATCAGACAAAGGTAACAGCAGTCTGAGTTCAGAATGCCTGATCTAGAATATTCCAGTCCTCAGAGCTGTCATCTCCCTCAACTCAGAATGAACAGGTTTGGAAGATGACTTGGATTACTTTCTGAGATAAACCTGACCATTACTCAGCAATTCCAGTCTCGTTTCCAGATAGCTGCCTTTGAAGCAGGCAGTTTCAGGGCTTTGTGGCACCCCTACTTTTTTCCATTCAGCCTGGGGACAACACTTAAATGCAAAACTTCTATAGGTAGCTTCATCTTTTTTTTAAGATTTTATTTATTTATTATGTATACAGTTCTTTGCCTACATGTATGCTTGCAGGCCAGAAGAGGGCACTAAATGTCATTGCAGATGGTTGTGAGCCATCATGTGGTTGCTGGGAATTGAACTCAGGACCTTTGAAAGAGCAATCAGTGCTTATGACCACTGAGCCATCTCTCCAACCCAGGTAGCTTCATCTTTGAGAACTGTTGGGAAGTCAGGGTTAGTCTCCACATTTTGCAAGCAAAGATCAGGGCTACTTTTCAAAATAATGAAGATTATAAGAGACTTTAAGAGGAATACAGCAGGATTATGCTAAGACTGGGATGTTAATAAGGTTACTAAGGTTGATGGCCTAGTGCTTGTGGACACTAATTTGTATGGAGTGAGGAGAAAAACCACCACATTATAAAAACATCTTTTAAAAATGGAGTTACCAAAACTGCTAGCACTGTAAGACATGGAAAGAAACTCTAAGATTTCTTTCAGTATTTTACCTACTTTAAGAGTAGGTAAATTAGGATAGCTCATCCAGAAAAAAATTGAAACTGAAATGCCATATTTCAAAGCATGTCCATATTAAGCTGGTGCAGTAGCCTCTCCACCAAAAACAAAATATCTCTTTGCATAGTACTCAAGAGACACATGAATTCCTAAACTTATAGACGACAGCATTTTCTGGATTATGTTCCATTGCTTTGCTTCTGATTCCTCATGTAGCCACTAATATTGCAGCATGCATCAGTTCAATGTTGGAAGTTCTAAGTCTTAAGACTTCTTTCTATGGAGCACAGCTGGCCTCACTGAGTAGAGCAGGAGTCAACAGTGCAGTAAGAGCAGGCAGCTCCTTCCTGTTTCCTTTAGTGCCTGTGCTGCCTATAGGACTGCTAAAGAAGACGGTATTGACTCTGCAGCTCTGGGGCCTTGATGGAGATGTTTGTATGACAAGCAGGTGCTCTAAGACTTTCATTGCTGTAATGGGCTCCTTGGGTACCCTGACTCTGGAAACTGGATGAATGGAATAGTTCCAGGTCTGATGGCAGAAGGCAAAAATATCTCTCAGTATACCTTGGAAATAAAGATATCTCAATCAAATATATTATCAATGCCAAATGCCTTTCTTACCAAGTATGCACAGAAGAGAATATTGACTAAAATATTCTACATGTTGATCAAGAATTGACTACTTTTAGTTTCATTTATTATACGAAAAATCTAAGAATAAAAAGACGGATAATTAAGTATAGGTTGTTTTAAACTCTGGGTAAGCTGCTTGTACTTCACAGGAAGAACCTTTCAGCTTAGAAAAATGTGAAAACACATAATCTGAAACTGGAAAGTGCTATGGGCCTCTGCAGGCCTGCTAAGCAACTCAGGGAACAACTAGAATCTCCCAGGAGAGAAGTCTAGACTTCAGGAGAGAGGGGTTTATTATGCAAGAATAAGAATCTCCTAAAATATGAGAAAGATGAGGTATAGAATTTTCAAACTAATGTTGCAGGCTAAGCTACTCAGTACAACCACAACACAAAAAGAACAAGAGCATGAAACCATCAACTTGTTATGAACAGGAAAACCAACTGCAGCTATTATAAATTCTGCATACACAGGCTCCCAGTGAGTGGGCAAAACAGAATCCAGGAACAAAAAGGAAACTGCTTGATGATTATAAATTGATCATCAGGAACAAATTCTAATGGAAAATGCTGAATTTCTCCCCCCCCCCATACACACACACAAAGGAAACACAAAACATGGCAGATGATACAGAAACTGTTACCTCAGACAGAGGAGATCACACTGGAGAGCTGAGCAGGGCCAACATGTGGGACCTCCCCTGTAAAACCTTAAGAACAGCTTAAAATAATACAAGAAAGCAGTAGAGAATATTGAAATCACATTGAAAACTTGATAACCGAGTTATACAAGATACACTGAGAAGATCTGAATGATGAAGATGTAACCTCACGACAAGACTGTGAACTTTCAAAAACTCAAGATACTGGAGTTACAGATTCAGCAACGTAAAGAACTGATGAAAAGAGCAGCATTCCAGCAGTTACACACGACAGCATGTGATGCTGGTACTACTTCACCACCAAGAAAATCAGTTTTAGATGAAGAAGGCAGTTTTCATCTGGGATTGGAGGAAAAGGCATCCCATGAAGAAAGAGCCAGTTGATTAAAGTAACATTTTAAAAATAGGACTACCTTTGACCTTTGATTGTCTGATTTGGACAATCCTGGGGCACGGTCATTGGCCACAGCAAAGTAAGCCTTATAGCCTGTCCAGAAGTTCTCCGGTTTGCCTGATGGATCTGCCTAAAGTCTCGCCCTCCTCACCTTCTACTTCAGACTTGAGCCAGACATAATCCTCTATATCTGAACGTAGTTAAGTATGCCAAAGATAATTCCTGAAGAAAGGAAACCAAATCAGGCTGTCTGGAAGAAAAGGTTCAAAGGTCAGAATAGAGCATGGCAGTAAGACCTAAACTACGAGAAGGTTGTTCCAGGGATATTCCTTTACCGATACCACCTCTCACACACAGAGATGAGTCAGCTTTGATTCCTGCAGTTAGCAGACTACACAAAGAAAGGCGTGCTCAGAGGTCAGAATGCCAGTCATCTAATAGTTTTAAGAAGTCTGATTTTTTTTTCTGGAGTTCCCTGTCTTCCCTGGAAGAGCAGAAATGTTAAATCATTTAAAGGGCTTTGGATATTTACCTTTAGCAACAAAAGTTCAGATCAAAATAAAAGCATCAGAATGATTTTCATCTTCTAGGTATTGAAAATAGTAGCAATGGGAAAGGAATTATTAAAAAATATTGAAGTTTTTGTCCTAAAGATAGGTGGCTTTGGAAACTCAGCCTTTACTTGAACATATACATTTATATAATTTATAACAAATCAAGTTCTATATTCCGTTGAGTGTGATTTTGGAATTACCTCTTTTGGATGTTTCAAAATGAAATTTATGTAAAATAATAATGAAGATTTCTATCTTTTCTTTGCAGGTTATTATTCACAATGAAATTTCTTTCCTCTAACCACAGTCTGTGGCCTCTTGCGTTTCTTCCTGCCTTCTCTTCTCTAGATAACAACAGTATCCATGTTATCTCAAACCGTGTGGTGGATATACCTCAGTCTAGCAGTGACCCTCCAGGCAGTGGGCTCACATAGTAGCCTCCAAAGTCAAGTGAGCATTGCAGCGCTATCGTCAGCAGGTTCAACACCTCCTGTCCTCATATTAATTAAAAAAGAACAGAACATGATTTGCCTTTAGTTTTAAACATTTCAGTAACTCTTTTATAAAGATTTCCAGAGAAGGAACTAGACTTCTTTTCCCCATACTGAAATGCTCTTGGAACCTCCCCACCACACACACACACACTTTTTGAGTGTGGGGATGGAAGCCAGGGTCTTGTGCACTATAGGCAAGCACTCTAGCATTCTGTCATTGAGCTAATGCCCCAGCCTATGGACATGCTTCCTAATCTTCAGTCTAGGAGCAACACAGACGGAACAGCTAGGACTCTGACAAGAGGATGCAGCTGTGTAAGTCTTCAGAGCCAGGGGCTCTACTGGCTGGTGTAACACCAGCATCTAGCACCACTGAGTCTGATTTCAGTTTCCTTTCTTCACCGTCTTTTTGTCTAACTTGTCCTCCCAACTTAATGTTCCTTAAGGCCAGCGAGACTGGCACTACAGCCCCGTATCTGCCCCACATCTGCCCCACCATTGTCAGATGCTGCAGGAAGTGAAGTGAGAAACCATTAAAGCATGCTATTACTTTGTTGAACTCTGCAACAGTGTACTACTATGTGAAAAAGTGGGAATAGGTCTGCATTTGTCTTAATTTAGAGAAGTTTTAGCTCCAGCATCCGAGTTTTGGGTTAAGTTTTAAGTGATGATAGTTTCAGGGCCCAATGAAATAGAAGCATTAGTTTAACCCAGTCAATGTCACAGCTCAAACACACTGGGGCATTCGGCCATCCTCATCCTCATCCTCATGAGAGCCTCCCTGATCCTTCAGGACTTAGGGTGAAGTCATGCATTTTCCTGTAGTGGAAACACAAGGGGGGTTCCCCGACTGGAAACCTTGTGATCTCCCATTCCCAGGTCTCGTTCAAACACTTCCTCCGAGCTGCTTTTTGTTCTCCGACCACCCTCAAGACTTGTGGAGGCTGTGTAGGAGCTCGAGGAGCCATTTGCTGTCACAGTGCTGTCTCCGTAGGTCAAAGTGAGGTCACCCTCCGTCAGGATGAAATCAGAGTCATCTTCTCTCAGCGGCTCTTGATTCTGAAAGGTGCAACCAATAAAAGAGGAGCCTGAGATTTTCCGAAGCTGGGGCAACCTAACCCCAAATCCTCATATCAGAAAACCAAGGCTTTGGGCGGGGGGGGGGGGGGGTGTGCTACAGTATAGCAGTTAAGAACATTTGTTGCTCTTGCAGAGGACCCAGGTCCAATCCCTAGCACCCAAATTAGGCAGTTCACAACTACCTGTGATTCCAGTTCTAGGGGATCCAAAACCCCCTGGCTTCAGTGGGTACCTGCACACATTTAGTATGTGTACATACATATACCCAGGCACACAAATACACATATACTAAAAATACCCAAATACACATACATTAAAAAAAATCTTAAAAAATAAAACCTAAGGATTTTATGAAACTTGCTTACCTACGCCCTTGGTATCAATCAAAGCAATGTTGCCTAAACCAGGCAGATTAGATTTCAGATGTATGATAGTTCAGGGGTTATTATCTAAGAGAAGAAAGCAGGCTGGCTGCATTCTCAACTTCCCCACACATACAGACATGATGTTACTAGGAAGGTCGTGAATAAACACTTCAAATAGGTTCTGCTTCTCTCCTACTGAGCAGGTCTTCTGGGTGGCTCTGCTGATTGTTTACATGTAAGCAAGCTTTTCCCCTAGCCTGCAAGGGTGGGAGTGAACCATAGTGGGATTTCTTCCTTCTTTTTCCTCTACTATCTCCACATCTTCAGCTGGATGAAGTGACTGATTGATAGGGAGAATGCACTTTAATGAGCCTTTATTAAATACCTGCTGGAACCCTCACATAAACTCGCCTGCCAATAAAGGGCATGGGCACCAGCATCACAGGAGGAAACCCATGCTGTGAGAACTCATGGAATGTGCCAAAAAGTTGTCCAGCTGACAAGAAGTAGAGCTAGAATTTGTGTTGCCTCCAGCCTAGTTTGATCCACATAAAAGATGTGGAAAAAATTAGTGGGTCAGAAAAAGGCTCAAAATTGATAAGAATAAACAAGGCAGGCTTAACAAGGTCATAACTCCTTGAAATTATCAGATAGTGGGGAGAGAGTCCGGAGACAGTGCAAGTTCACACAGACTTTAGCATTCTCCAGCGGCAAAAGAAACCATGACCTTGCTCCTGTCTGTGCTGTTATCTTTCCAATACTAGAAGGGGCTTTCTCAAATGGCAAGCAGTGTGTCAGGACACCTGAAATGTTCTATCATTTCCCATCAGCCCTTCCAAACTCTTCTGAAGTCTTGTGTCCTGTGGTCTGACATCAGAACCTCTTCTATCCAGCCTCTTTAAGTCACACTGTGCAAAACTATGGGTGCCCCCTTAGTTGGCATGTGAACTCCCCACTTCAATGATAACACCCATGGTTTTCTTCTTGTCTTCCTAAGTGATGCTTAGTTGACAAAGGCTTCTTTAGTACAAGACTCCCAAGCCGAAATTGAGCCATAATCCAAGCTTTTTGAGTACTATCTCTACCTTTTTACAGTTTTTATTAATTGTATAAAACAACAGGTTTTATCATAACATCATGACATAATGGCAAAAGTCTCATGGTTTAAATATTGTTTCATGTATGAAATTATTATAAATATAAAATTAAGTTTAAGTTATGTGTACAAGGTATATTTGAGGCATAAATGAGTTACGGTTAATGTAAATAATGGACGATGAACACCTCAAAGCTCTCCAAATAAATTTCACCTATTAAAAATAGCTGGCACATGCCTTTAATCCCAGCACTTGGGAGGCAGAAGCAGGCAGATATCTGTGAGTTCGAGACTAGCCTGGTCTACAGAGCTAGTTCCAGGACAGGAACCAAAGCTACAGAGAAACCCTGTCTCAAAAAAAAAAAAAAAACCTATAGATGATGAGTAGGGACCCACACAACAGGTGTCAAATGGCCATGAGACCCACCCAGTCGGCAACTCTCACCTGGCACTAACTAGAGGAAGCCCCTCTATCTTTCTCAATTTTGAATTCCTCAATTTATAATACGTATCAATTGCTAATACAATTGATAAGACTGTTTTCACACAACAGGAGGCCTTGCCATATCTGGAGGTAGCTAAGATACTGGGCCAAAGAACCTCAGCCCAAATGGACAGCATCAGCAACAAGGGTGGCTCTTGTCTTGGTAGTTCAAGATTGAATAGGTGTGTGGAGCCCAGAGCCCAAATATTATTCCTAGAGCAAACCTGAGTGGTCTCTTAAAGTGCTGAAAGACACTTGGTTTCTGTGATTGCAAGAACCTTACTGAGCTTATACTGTCGTCAGACTATTCCAAATATCCCTAACCTCTGAGAAAGGGGGCAATTAATAGGCTTCAGACCAGAGAAGGTTTATTTGAAGTGGCTGAAGCTTTGGGTTTAAATGCCTCATTCACAGTCTTTTCCCCTTCTTCAGCCCCAGTGCTGGGAATGGAACCCAGGGTTTCATAATCACTTAGCAGGCATTCTTCCAAAGAGCTACGTCCTCAAAGGCCTTTTTTTCTTATAACTTAAGTAGTCTATTCCAGGGGTCACAAAAGTCTCACTTGAATATGGGAGGAAGAGCTGGGGATGCTAGGAGGCTCAGATATCTTTAAGACAAGGGAGTATGAATGTTGTTTTCTTCACAGTAGGTGAATATGTGAGAAAAAAGACTGAGGCAGAATTATATTCTTCCATGGCACAACCCACTCTCCCGAAGAGACAACCTAGCTGCTTTACAAGCACAAAGTTCTGTCACCTGTATTCGTGATGCATGTGTGTGTGCACCTGCACATGGAGGGCAGGGGTTGATCTTTGACTGTTCCCTACCTTATCTTTTGAGACAAGTTCTCTCACTAAACTTAGACCGCTTATTGATTAGGTCATCATGCCAGTGAGTTCCAGGGTTGAGGTTATAGACTTGCAGCATCATGCCCAGCTTTTTATGTGAGTGCTGGAGATCCAAAGTGAATTCCTCATGCTTGTATGGCAGGCACTTACTGAGAGCATATCTGTCACATTTTCAATGATAGCCTTCCTCAAAGGGGGATAAGTAAGAACCTTAGTTTCTGTTGGTCTCTCCCATTGCACAGCAGCACTGAGTTACAGATGCACGGTGACTTGATAACTGTAATCCTTGTTCTCAAGGAAGAGCACGACATCTAAGAACCCTGTTTTCATCTTGGGTCTTTTGGTATGGTTGCACTTATCTTATATCCCAACTATGCTAGCTATGGCATACATATCCCTTTCTGTTATTTCTCCTTTCTGAATGTGTACCATGTTTCCTGACCCCATTGTTTGAGGGCCCTCCTCCCTCAGATCTTGGTTGGCCTTCTACTTTCTTATCACTGATGAAATCAACTGCAGATTGTTTGGGGACCTGTCTTAGGGTCTCAGTTTTGTGTATTACTAATCATGGGCCATGGACAGCCTGCATTATCCCTGAGATTATATGCTCTCCTCAACTATATTGCTGCAGTATTTGTTCTTTCGCAGTGTGCTGAGAATGAAACAAGCCTTTGACAGCTGTGAGGCTCTTTTCCTTCCAGGCAAAGACTATCACCTTGGGATGGTGAGAGAGAAATGGAGAGGGGGAAGCTCTATCTTCCTTTCTACTGCTTCAAATATAGACAGCTGCTTGCTCACTTTACCTAGCTGCCCTGCAACCCACATTGGGGACTCAAGTTCAGCCCTAAGTCTGAGACATCCATGGCAGAACCATTCTTTTCCTAAGCGTGATGACTCCATTTCTAGCACCAGAAAAAGGGAAGAGAGGGCCTAACCACACCCATAAATAAACTACTTAGAAAGGAATACTTGGTGTGCTGCTTTGTGGTTTGTGGTGTGTCTTGATGAACCTTATTTAATGCTCACACCAGGTGGCACTAGTAGGCCCATAGTACAATTAAGGAAAAGGGTATAGAGCACTTTCAGTAGCCTGCGAGGGCTTGAATTGCAGTCCGGTCACTTGAATTCCCAACCACAGCTACCTACACTGGGAAGCCATATAACCCTGTTAAAAGATTTCCCTGTTATTGGGCCAAACAAATGAACACACATAATACATGCATACGTACTTACGTATGTACATACATGCACATATGCACACACACACAAATGCACACACACACCGCTTCTAATCATCTTATTAGATGAGCCAAATCTACGCATCTAGAGTTTGGAGTGTGGTGGTTTTTCCTAAGGAAGAGACTACCGGTTGAGCAGAAACACGGACCTAAATGCAGTACTTACATCATACACCTGGGGACTGGTCAGACATCGAGCTAGCAAGCCACACCAGGCTGGGAGAGTGGTGCTTAGCGGGGGACCACTGTGGGTGAGAATGGGCTTCAAGTAACTTTAAAGAGGAAATTAAGGAAAAATGGCTGCAATGAAAATATACACAAAACAGAATGCATTTTTAAAACCCAAAGAAAAATAGATTATCTGACATTCTACCCACAAAGTCTGCCTGCCTCCCATTTTCTCAGTACAACACAGGTAACCCTTACATCTATAGGAACAAAAAGTGAAGATGTCTCCATGGTGTCTAAGTGCACGTGGGTAACTCTTAGGGTAATGATATCTAATAGTCAGTTAGAAGAATAGTGGATTAATTCAGTCAAGCACAACGGTACACATCTGGAATCCTAGCACCTGGGAGGCTGAGGCAGGAAGAGTTTAATGGCAACCTGAGCAACACTATGAGCTTGTCTCAAATAATAAAGCCTCCGAACAATCAATCCAAAGCCAGCCAGCAAACAAACAAGCAAGCAAAAAGAACACTGGATTCATTAGAGTACATATTCCTTACCTAATTTGGTTGCTTTATGGAGAAGAAACCAATGTATGCTTCTAGTTGTGAATTATTTAACTCTTTTAAATAATAGAAAAACTCTTTGCTAAAAGACAGAAACAAGGGTTCTGCTGGAGTTCTCTGCAGACAAAACATGCTGCTGTGTGATTGCTGGCTTTAAAGAGCAGGCTCTGGGATGGATGTGGGCCACTACAGGGCAGTCGTTTCTCTCCTGTCTTTAGGAAGGTGGCAAGAGCTTCAATCTCTACCATGTCAAGGGTCAAGCCAGAAGCTTCCTTTCTGTTTCCTGCTTTGGGCACTTCAAAGACTAGCCCTTTTTAATTCATGTTGAGAAGTCCTGGAACAATGCCCTTTAAAACCACATATGCAAATGTGTATATAGTTTCTTAAAATGGGTTTATATTTTAAGTTAGTAAACAAAGTAATGTCTTTCACTGTGGCATTTTCATGCATGTATATCATTTTACTTTGTTCCTATTTGTCCCTTTTCCCCATCCCTATCCTATTTTTTGCTGGTTCCCTACCTCCCCCAAATAGTCCCTGTTTTTGCTGTCGTGTCATATATATTCTATTATTCTCTATTTTAATTAAAACTTTATTATAAAGAACTTGCAAATAAAAAATATCACACACCAAAATAAAGTTCATCAGAATGAACTTCTGTATGGTTAGAACAGCCATTCTAAAGCTATAGAGTTTCATACTGGATTTTACACTTTCACTAGAGAACATACTTTTATACACATACCTGTCATTAAAACACGGAAAAATTCATGTGAGTTAGAAGTAAATCCCATGGAGGCTGAGTGATGTGAACCATCCGGAGCTGACACTCTTCTCTCAACATGTCTCTAAACTTTTGCTAATTCTTGAAGTTTTTTCTCCAACTTTATTTTCCAAATCAACAATTTGGTCTTTGCTATGTACAACCATTCATTACATTGGGGGTTGGGGAGAGGTTATTTTCTGAAAAACTTGAGACAGGGTCTTATGAATTCAGGCTGGCCTTGAAATCCTGACTCTCTTGCCTCTGTTTCTCGCGTGCTGAAATTATAAGCATGCATCACCATACCCAGCCATAAAACTAATTTTTTTGGTGCTTCGAGACAGGGCTTCTCTGTAGCTTTGGAGCCTGTCCTGGAACTAGCTCTTGTAGACCAGGCTGGCCTCAAATTCACAGAGATCAGCTTGCCTCTGTCTCCCGAGTGCTGGGATTAAAGGTGCGCCACCACTGCCTCACTATAAAACTAATTTTTAATTTCCAAGATTTTTTTCTTTTCTTTTTGAACTATTTTCTAACAACTTGCCCTTATTTCATGACTGGAAAAAAACGCTCCCATTTCTTTCTAAACATTTTATCAGGAAATATTTTGGGTGTTTCTTGTGGTTTCTGTTTGTTAATTTGTTTTTGACTTCTGAGATAAGATCTCACACCTTGAAGCTCAGGTTGGCTTATAACTCATTATATAGTCTGTGTTGGCCGGGAACTTTTATATGGGTTTACATCATCATGCCTCGCTGAAGGTTTTTTAACAGTAAACATCTGCAGTTGTTTGATTATTTCAGCATCCCCACTCCTTCATGTATTTATTCAGTATCTTGGTTCATCAGGTAGGATGGGAACCCCTATTACGATATTAAAAATCAAAACCAGAGAAGATTATTCTGGGCAGAAAAACCTGTTGTCCTCAACATCTGTTTCCCTACTAATGCCACATCCCCCACCCCCCGTCAAGGGTTTCTACTTTCTCTAGATGTCTAAGAAAACTAACAGCTATTAGTCAATCTATTGACAAGAAGGAACCGCTACAGCGTTCCCAACAACAGTTTGAATAAATCAGCTAAACAAACTGGCTAAAACTCATGACTGTCTTTGACTCTATTTTGCCTGCTCAAATTCCTTCTACCTTCCTTTGGCTTTTCAAGTGACCAAAAATGCCTCTTTTGTGATTTCTGTAAGGCCTGGGAAAAGAAGGGAGAGTATGTGGACACATCTTAAACTGGAAGCCTGTCTACCCCATTTTAGGCTTGTGGGGGAGGGGGTCCTATAAATCAGTAGGAGTCATTCATGTACAAATCAACTGCCTTCTACACTCTCATGTTACTTAGATGGGATTCTGGAACTCATTTCTGTTTCTCTTCAAACAATCAATTATCACTTTAGCATTTGTCCTTCTGCAGCTGCTCTTCAATGTTCTCTATCCTCTCCAAGCCTAAGGAACAACATGCTTTCTGAATTATCATTTAGACAAAATTCACATGACTTTAAAGAAATCCCTAGAAGTTTTGTTTCAGTTAATAGAAAATATTAACTAGACCAACAAGAAAACCTACACAACAGAAAATGAAACAAGGCGAAGTTCTTCACCTGATGGCTTCAGAAAGTGACTAAGGCAGTGAAGAGGGCTAAAGTCTTGGAAGGAAACACCAAATGTGTGAACCCCACACTTCATGAGCCCCAGTTCCCACAGACACCTGAGAAGCTGAGGAGAGAATCTGGCAGATTCAGATGTAACAGACTGAGAATGACAGAGACTAGAGGCCGTACTGAGTGAGGAAAGAGATGTGAACAGCCCAAGCTTTAGGTTGAAACCCTAGATGAAAATGCAGAAAGAGACATTAACACTCACAGGAATTGAATCCATCTTTAACCTTTCTTGTTGATTGGGTTAAGATGATCTTGAATCCCTATAGCTGATGCTAACTGGGAGCAGTCCTAAACTGAAATACTTAAATCATCTCTGAAGGAGAAACATCATCCAGAGCAACTCCAGTTATCTCTAGATGTTGTCTTTGCTCATGTTTGTCACTGAGAAAAGAAGACATATACACAAAAAAAGAGACAGTTTAGGACACTGGGTGTATGACTTTGAGATGCAATGATTTCTGAAGCAGTACACAAAAGACACTAACAAGAACAGGATCAATCAACCAGATTAAGAGTTTCTGTTCTTCAAAAGACTTAATTTGGAAAGTGAATAGACAAGAGGAATAGTATTTTTACCAAATATAACCAGCAAAAGGTACAAATTCAGCTATATAAAAAACTCTTACCAATTAAGAAAATTGCACACAGCCCAATAGACAAATGGGCAGGAAATGTACAAGCATTTCATAAAGGAACATAGTTAATGGCCAGTAAATGTGTGAAGAGAGTCCTCAATCCCATGAGCTGTCACAGAAATACAAATTAAAGCGATAGTAAAATATACAATAAGAAAAATCAAAAGACTGACAATAACAACAACAACAACACATGTGGAGCATGTGGAGCAACTAGAACATTCAAACACGAGGAATGTGTGAAATAGTATTACCTTGGAAAACTGTTTTCTAACACTGAACCTACACACGTCTCTGGTTCTAGCCTATGTCTCTGTATTTCTTTCATATCTCTGTTCTTCCTACCTAATTTTTCTAATCTACACACCCCTACCCTGTCAAGGCTGGACCCCAACAGATGCAGCCCCCATGTGTGGCTCGGACAGTGGATGTTGTCACCAGTGTCTCCTGAGCCCAGGAGAAGGCTAAAGGATACTTGTGATCAAAGCCGTACCACAGCCTGAATATCCATGCACTCTCCTGCTTTGTCCGGCTTCCTCCAGCAGAATCCAGGCCATCCTAGAACAAACCAGAGAATGCTGATTAGGGAAAGAGATAATGAGAGATGGAGGAAAGGCTAGTTTTAAAATTGTAACTGTTGTGTTTTGCAGTGCTTAAGATTGACCTCAGAGCCTTGCACAAGTGAGACAATTGCTCTCAACACGCATGGGCTCACTCTGATGAATATCTTGCATATCACCATAGAACCTTCATCTGGCGATGGATGGAGATAGAGACAGAGATCCACATTGGAGCACCGGACTGAGCTCCTAGGATCCAAATGAGGAGCAGAAGGAGGGAGAACATGAGCAAGGAAGTCAGGACTGTGAGGGGTGCGTTCACCCACTGAGACAGTGGAACTGATCTAATGGGAGCTCACCAAGGCCAGCTGGACTGGGACTGATGGAGCAGACTCTCTGAATGTGGCTGACAAGGAGGGCTGACTGAGAAGCCAAGGAAAGGCACTGGGTTTTGATTCTACTTCATGTACTGGCTTTGTGGGAACCTAGTCTGTTTGGATCCTCAACTTCCTAGACCTGGAGGGAGGGGGGAGGACCTTGGACTTCCCATGGGACAGGGAACCCTGACTCCTCTTTGGACTGGAGAGGGAGAGGAAGAGGGAATGGGGGGAGAGGGAGGGAAACGGGAGGAGGGAAGGAGGTGAAAATTTGTAATAATAATAAGAAGAAGAAAAATGAAAAAAAAAACGTGCATGGGCTCATATAACTACAACTTTCCCAGAGCTAGAGCTCACGGTGGAGAACCACACACTACCATAGCTTCAAAGATACAGCTCAATGGTAGAGGATTTGTGTAGCATACACAGGGTACTGAGTTTAATGCCCAGAGCCACACATGTAGAGATATATTGAGAAGCAATATTCTAGCAGAAATTAAGCAAACACCAAAGGAAAAAACTGAATTCCTAAAGTAAAAAGTTCTAGTCATGTTTGTGGGTAGATGGAACCAATATTAGCATAAAATCTCTTTGGCATTTTATTTTAATAAATGAAGGTACTTCCAAGTACCTTTCAGGAGTTAATTACCTTACTGTAGTCTAGATCCTTGCAGGACAAAATTGTACATGGCCAATGGTAAAAAAAAAAAAAGCCTGTGCAAAATGAACTTTCCGTTCATTTTTCCCAGTGTCGACCTAGATAGATGACAATGCTAAATTTCCTGACAAACTAGCCCAAGAACTCTGTGGTCTTAGCACAGATTTTCAGTTACATAATTACATATCTCTCTACTAGCTTTAGGGGCTAATGATCAAGGAGATGAGAGTCAGGCTAGGAATTGTGGGATTTCTATCTACTATAAAGTAGCAAGCTCCTTATCATTTCTCTCAAACATCCTCACCAATTAATTTTCAGTTATCTGTAAATCAGACATTATTTGAGGTTTAAGATATCTTTCCTATACAAGTATATTATAAACAGTACAATTAATATAAAAATGAGATTGACTTCACCAGTTTGAGGGCACTGCTTGGATTCTATATTGCTAGATGACAGGTTCTCCAAGTACAAACAGTTGATGAAGCACACCTATTTTTATCACCACCCTTTTTAATACTACAGAGAGAAGCAAGTCTGAAAGTGAGAAACAATCAACAATATATACTAAAACTAATTACAAGTAATTCTAAATCACAGTGAGTGTAATTCTATAGCAATAACAAAGTTAGTCAGATGAGCATATAGAATACTGGAAGTAGAACAGTGGCCACCATATTCCTCTTACATCCTAATCTCCAGAATCTGCAGGTATGTTATACACAGGGCAGAAGGGCTTTGAGGAAGAAGGTAAGGAAGGCTATGAAAGTGGTTAAGAGCAATCACATGAGCCCTTTTTGGATAAGGAATGTGAAACTCAGAAGAATTTAATGGAAGAGAGTGGCAAGGGCCTTGCCTTGCTGTTGCTAGCTTTAAAGATGGAAAAGGGGCATAAGCCAGAAAATATGAGTGGCTTCTAGGAACCAAACATGAACCCCAGCAAACAAACAGAAAAGACACCACACCTTAGTCCCACTAAGGCAGAATAGGGTGTAGAGTGAGGTTCAGAAGACCAGGAACTAAAGTTGACAAAGAGGAAGGCTGCAAACTATCTGGCTGAGGCCCACTAAAGTGTGTTGGCACCACTGGCTCAGGCACATACGCAGTCCAAAGGGTTCAAAAGTAACTCATAGTAATTATAATACTAAAGGGCGCATTCCTGCTGGAGATTTCAGATGCCAACGAGACATATAATGCATGAAGTTAAATGCTGAACTACATGGAACAGAGCACATGTGGAAAAACTTGTGCTATGCAAATGTGTTCCAACTCCCACGATATGCAAATGCAAACACCCCTCCTTAAGGTACCAAACAAGCCCCAACTCTCTGTAAAGCAGGTCCCTTTGACTGCTAAACTTTCTCCCTTCTCCAGCCCACTACCTCCCTTGGAAGTGTACTATCTCTTAATAAACCATCGGATTCTGCTGCAACTATGTCTCTGCGCAATACTTTCATTGGGGATGTAAAAGCCTGGAAGCCCTTTAGAAGTGCCCCTTAAACGCTGATATCTACTAATATCAGCTGGCAGACCAGTTAGGAGGTAAGATCCACACTATGAAACTCCTAGACATTCCACTCATTTTGGAGGCACCTGAGAGGTGTCACTCCAGACAGGTCAGATGCACACCTCCCTCAATTACCAGGCTCTAAGAGCCCAAGCCTCCCCACCTTTCCCCATTCCTGGCACCCTCCCCCTCAATCACCAGGATATAAAGAAAAAGAAATTTACCCTAAACTTAACCTTGTCCTCTCCTCTGCCAGCACCTTGCCAGGTCCAAGAAACACCAGAGAGCCTGGACAGCAGTGAAACAACCAGATACCCTAAGACATGGCCAGCATACCAGCTTTCTCAGGTCCTCCAAAATTTCAACACCCACAAATCAGCAGGAAGCAGTCTATCAGATATCAGATAATGACTTTCCCAACTTTTACAATAAGAAAAAGATGGGAATGTTAGGATTCAGGCATTATGCTGGCTTGCCCTATCATCTGGCAGGATGCACTTTAGCAGTGCCCTAGTCATCCCAGGGTCCTAGTCTGTACACAGGTGCAAAGGTCCCTTTAAGAGACAAACTCCAGGGGCTGGAGAGATGGCTCAGAGGTTAAGAGCATTCCCTGTTCTACCAAAGGTCCTGAGTTCAATTCCCAGCAACCACATGGTGGCTTACAACCATCTGTAATGGGGTCTGGTACCCTCTTCTGGCCAGCAGGCATACATGCAGACAGAATATTGCATACATAATAAATAAATATTTAAAAAAAAAGAGACAAGCTCCACCCACTCCCAATCTCTGCTTTCATGTTTGTCCCTCATCTATCCTGGGCTTACCTGCCAGGATGCCACTTTGCACTGTATCATAACAAGGAAGAAAGAAAGGAGGGAGAGAGGGAGGTTGGGAGGGAGTAAGGAAGGAAAAAGAAAAATTGAAAAATGGGGTAGAGTGAAGGATCAAAGAACAGTAATTTGAAGAAAGTGACTTCACCAACTGTTTGAAGTTAAAAATTTGTGTGTCTAAAGTATCAGATTTTAGCCAGCGGGGAGGCTCCATTCAGGGACAAATGAATCCAACTTGCTCACAAAGTTCTCTGTCAATGGAACTCTAAACATCTGATTTTCAATGGTACACACACACACACACACACACACACTTCCTTCCAGACTCCATTAGCACATCCGTTTGTGTGCTGCCCTTGTTGATATGATGAAGGCAGGAGTCACACTCTTTGTTGCCTAGAGGGGCCTCATCAATAAGTGATCTTCTGGAAAACTTGAGGAAGGAAGTGAATGATGTATCATCATGTCTAGCCAACAGAAATCTCAGCTATGTCTGATCTGGCAGGAAAGTCCCTCTCTAACTGGATGAGAAGCTACTACCCCTGGGGCCAGGCAGCTTGCTTCCAGCTGAGCTTGTTTTTGTTTTGGTTGCAAAGTTGCCAAGACCTCTAGAGAAACAAAACAACTGTGTTTTCAGGCCTTGTTTTTGTTCTGATGAGTCCAACTTGCCAGAAACACAAAGTTGGAGTCTGCCCACAATATTCATATGCTTCCCTCACAGAGCCAAAAGTTTCAGCCAACCTGCTCCTTCCCATCTCCTACATGAGCTAATGGTAGCTTGTAGCTGTGACGCTGTTTACAGCTCGGGGCTTCTAGAAACAGTAAGGAAAACTGTCTGTATTGTTTTCTGGTTTTGTTTTTGTTATTTTTTTTTAACATCCCAACTGCAGTTTCCCCTCACTCCTCTCCTCCCAGTCTCTCTCCCCTCTCTGTTCCCGACCCCCAATCCACTCCTCCTTCATGTTTGTTTAGAAAAGTGCAGGCCTGGCAAAAGAGTCAGAGATAGCCTTTGCTCACATTGGTAGGAGTCCCACAAGAAGACCAAGCTATACAACTGTAACATATATGCAGAGGGCCTAAGTCAGTCCCATGCAGGCTCCTGGTCGTTCGTTCAGATTCAGACTCTGTGAGCTCCTATGATCCCAGATTAGTTAATTCTGTGAGTTTTCTTGTGATATCCTTGGTCTCTCTGGCTCCTATTTAGATCTGTACCCCATTTTTAATTGGATTATTTTGTTTGTTGATATCTGTTTCTTGAGTACTTTATATATTTTAGAGATTAGCCCTCTGTTAGATGTGGGGTTGGTGAAATCTCATCCCATTCTGTAAGCTGCAGTTTTGTCCTTTAGACAGTGTCCTTTGCCTTACAAAAGCTTCTCAGTTTCAGGAGTTCCTATTTATTAATTGTCAATCTTGGTGTCAGCACTATTAATGTTCTGTTCAGGAAGTTGTCTCCTGTGCCAATGCATTCAAGGCTATTCCCCACTTCCTCTTCTATCAGGGCAAGGCAGAACAGAAATATGCGGGGAAGGCTGGACTGAATGCTGGGAGGAAGAATGCAGAGTTTAGGGAGAAGCCCTGTAGCCCCACCAGAGATGGACGCTGGAACTTTAGCCAGTAAGCCAC